CTCAGTTCACTGGCCACATTCTGTTCCTCATTTCTTCAACTGCCTCTTTCCTCCCGAGCTTTCCTGCAGCCGCTGGTGCCAAATTTGAGAGCGGGTGATGGGGGCGTGGGAGCCTGCGTTTGGTCTGATTTGGAAGCACCAGCTGGGTCAGATGAGCGCCTTGCTGAAGAAACCCCTTTACTCAGGAGCTGCGTGGTGGAGTAACCTCTGCCCTGGGTGATCAGATGAGAAATCACCCCTGGCCAGGGCCCAAACTAAACATGGATTAACTTTGCCCTCCACAAGTGCTGGGGCCGGGAGTCGAGCGCTGAGCAGGGATCCCGCAACCATGGGGGCGAAGCTACTCTGGCTCTGCCTGGCCTCGGCCCTCGCGGCCTACTACATCTACAGCCCCATCCCTGCCGGCCTCGGGCAGCCCTGGAAGGTGATGCTGCTGGACACTGGCTTCAGGGCCATGGGGCACCTGGTGAGTTGGGATGGGGTGGGAGCTGCGGGGTATGGGGCTGAGATACTGCAATATGTATATATAATACATATATATGGTCATAAATTCAGTGAGGGACAGGAGTGTCTGAAATTTTCCTGCTCTGGCAGGGGGGTTGGACTGGATGATCTTTCGAGGTCCCTTCCAAATCCTAATATTCTGTGATTCTGTGAAATTAAGCTTAAAGTTACTGTGGCTATAAAGTTAGAGAAGATTTAATGGTGCAATCGGACATTCAGAGTACATAGAAATGCAATACGTAATGTGGAGACAGACAAGTGCAAACAAGTTTATTTTGCATTGTGATCCTTTGCAGCTGAAGCACTGCTCCATGAGTTTTTTCTTATTTCTCAGAACCTGTGCAGTGCACTTCCTCAGAAGTATTGGATAGGAGGGAAAACCAGAGCACTTCTTAAATGCTGTTGATTTTTGTGGTTTAATAGAAATCCACTGACAGGATGAGCCTAAAAACTACACAAAGCTGTAGGGGCTGATAGGGCTGATAATGCTAGAGCATGTAGAAATTAAGTTTACACACAGTCTCTCCCTATATATATATATGTGTGTGTGTGTGTGTGTGTGTATGTAAAACTCTCTTTATAGCAAACCTTTTAATACCCCTGTAATCTTGCCTACCAAAAACCTGGTATGGAGCCAAGCAGCACAGAAGCATATGTCCCAGCCTGGAAAGGCAGTGGTGCTATTGACTGACAACATGGTCCTTATGTCTTTCCATGCTATTTTTAACTGTACTACATCCTGGCTTGTGCTTCGTGTCAGTCACGTCACAGCTGTTTCAAATGTGTGTAAATAACCCATGAGGCTGCACACCATGTGTAAATCATGGCGCTGTAGTCCCAGCTCCTAAGTACGTTAAACCAGGAGCTGTTTTGAATCCCACCTGTACTCCATGTCCAGTGGTGTAACTGAAAATCTGAAACCAGGGTCAAAGATGAAGGTTGAGGGGAGGAGAGGGCTGAGTGTTGCAGACAGCTTTCTGGTTGGCTGCAAACACTTTGAGAGTGCTTTTTTTCTCCACCATAACATCTATTGCAAGGAGGCTCCGAGAAGCCAGCAGAGAGGTTTCTGGTGTGGCTTGGGGGTGCTGCCAAGAAGCTCCTCTGCTGCAGGCACAAATGCTGTTTGCTCCAAAGTGTGGAGTGCGGGATTTTGCCGTTTCTGTTTCAGTTAAAACATGGTGGGCGTGATTTTCGGAGGTCCATGGGAGCCACCTCTCTATGATTTTTCTGGTGGAGGCAAGGGTGCATGGTTTAGTGCTGGAGGGTTGTGTTTCCATGTTACCCTGGAGCCGCTGTCTCTCGCGGCTGCTGTGTTGGCTGCTGCTGAGCCCCAGTCCATCACCGGGACCAGCGGTGCAGTGCGAGCACCTTTGGTGACTGCTCCGACCCCACGCACAACCCTAATCCTGCGGGATAGGGCAACAATTTATAATTGTTTAATAGGTCTAAATTTGCGCAGGGGACCCTATTTTGTTTTTTTCTGGCTCTCTGTAGTTGGTTTTAAGAAAAGGGTAAGAACTCTGCCATCAGACACCGCTGGGCAAGAGGCTCATCTCCCCGCTCCCAACAGGACGAGCCATGAATGCCATGCGATCACTGATCTCCATCTTCCACCCTCTGCTTTGCTGTAACAGGTCCTGGGGGGTTCTCCAGCTTCTGAGCCAAATTGTGCAAGATTTTCTCTTACCCCATCACATGTGGTAATCTCAGATGGGGGACAACGAGACTTTTCAGTTGAGGATATGATTTCCTTGTGTTTTTATGTGATAATGGCCTTGAAACCACAGCAGGAGACCGGTGGTTTTCCAGTGTAAAACATGCGCTTGTGGAAAAACCAGCTCTGAGGGTACTGAAAATACTCAGCCTCAAAGCTGAGGGAATTCTCCTCAAAGTAAAATTACAGAAAGCAAACCACGCAGGGTTAGATTGTGTGATTTACAGCATCCAACCCAAATGCCAGGTGTTGCACCTTGCAAGAGGTCATCAGCTGAAGTAGGGGTTTGTGTGTTTGTTGCATCCTTCCTGGGATGGGTAAAGCATCTCTTGGACAGCTGAGCTTCCCACCAGTCTGGGCCATTTCATTTCCTATTAAACTCAAACCAAGTTTAATCTGTGTTTCACCTGCAAATAACATGCAAGACAGAACTTGGTTTTATTACTTAATCATGGCCCTTGCTGTGTAACGAAGCAGTTGGGAGACTTATCTTTCCTCTCCATAGGACTGATAACACCGTGCTAGTGACAGCCACAGGGGTGTTTGTTTTACTGAGGAGTTCAATCAGATTAATTAACTGAGGCTGTTGTTAATGTGGTTGTCTCCCAAACCCAGCGCTCTGACCAAAGCCAGAGGTGCATGGCTCAGGGTGGGCAGTGTCCAAGACAGGGACCCCTTCAAGTCAGCACCGTTGTGGCTTCTACAGCTACTTTACTGATGACCAGGTGCTGAAGCTGTGTTTAAAACACTTTTCCCTTCTCCTGGGCTGAAGGCGGAGGTTGCAGAGCAGCTGGGTCTGATGCACTACATGGACGTGCTGATGCTGATCACCTTCTCTGAGTGTGTCGCGCCCAGCTCCGACGAGAACGTCACCGTGACTGACACTGAGTTCAGCGGCGTCGCCGTCCGCCTGTACCTGCCCAGGAAGGCACCCGAGGGGCTGCGGAGGGCGGTGGTCTACGTCCATGGGGGAGGGTGGTGCCTGGGACAGGCAGGTAAGGTGGTCTCCATGTGGAGATCTCACTGGTCTGTGCTTAGCCCTGCCTTTTGTGTTATGGGAGTCACCAGAGAGGGTGAGAGAACTGGTTCTGCACCAGTACGACCAGGTGGAGGTTTTGGGAAGTCACCTGAAAGCCTCTGGAAAGAGGAGTGTGCTGCTGTGGATGGGTCTGTTCCCAAATAATTCCCAGATGTCCTGGAGGATGCTCTGAAAGTGCCTCATCTCATTTCAGGGATGAAAGGCTACGATCTGCTGTCGAGGTGGACCTCGCACAGGTTAAATGCTGTCGTGGTATCAGTCAAGTAAGAGATTCTCCTTCTAGAGGGGATGAGGGTTGGGAAAAAATTAATCTATTTCAATTAATCTGATCTCACAATATCAGTTATTTTGATCATATACTTTCCTGCTGGCTTTGAGTAATTGTAAACAAAAGCTGTTGAGGTTGCAGTGGTGAATCGTGGTTGGTGGCTTTGGATTGTGCTTTATGAAGTTGGACAGAGATAATTCCTATTTTTCAGAAAACAATCAATGTTCCCCAGCTAGGGCAGGTGCTGGCAAGGCTTTTCCTCTATGAGCAGCATGAAGTAACACACTTCTGACAGCTACAGGTTGGCCCCCAAACACCACTTTCCCGTCCAGTTTGACGACGTGTACGCGGTGACCAAGTTCTTCCTCCAGCGCAGCGTCCTGTCCCGGTACAGCGTGGACCCCCACCATGTTGGCATCGCAGGAGACAGCGCCGGTGGCAACTTGGCTGCGGCTGTGGCACAACAGGTAAGAAAATGAAAATAAGAAATCTTGTTTGCTAGCTCAAAATATTGGTTTTAGTCCATGTACGTGGGGCATTGCACAGCCTGCAGGGCTGGTAGAGGGCTGAGTTTCCAGCCCAGCCAGTTTACTTCAGCTCTTTAATGGCATCGAAGTAGCTTTGATGCTACGATGCCCTCCAAATTTTATACCCTAAAAAAGCCACTCTGTCATATAGTTAGGTTATATATCACGCTATCAAGGTATGTTGTTTAAAAAGGGAATTTTAGCAATTTTACTCATTTAGATGCAAATAGCAGCAAACAAAAAAAGACTGAATGTTCCAGCGCCATTGGTCATGTGCAGGTTTGGTGCTTTTTGCACTTCTCTGAGGTTCATTAGACGAAGCCAATGCAACGGGATGCTCTCTTGGGAAGCTATTTGGACTGTAGTGAATGTCAGTGGGAAAGCTGCGGATGTGCTGTGGACACTGAAGGCAGACGATGAGGGAGAAGGCAGAAATTTGTTAGTGAAGAGAGAAAAAGGATGACACAGAAATGTCAGTGTTCAATTCAGCACACTTTATTTTTCATGTGTCTAAAATGCATGGAATCATAGTTGTTTGAGTTCTAACACCTCAGGTTACAAAAATCAAACAGATGGATAATCTCTAAATTGTGTGAAATTATTAAAGGAGCCTCAGAAACCTGCAATTTTTAAGCTGTAAGAATACGAATTCTCGATAGTTATAGGAAATGCATTTTTTGCTGTTTGGGAAAGCATCAGTGCTTCAGAAAGAATATTTCCCAAATATTGTTATCTTCAACATAAGAAATAGAATGAAGTTATATTTGATGTCTGAGAATTTTTAGTACAACTTAACTGTTCTAGGTGACCTGCCAATGAATTTAGAATTTCTTTAAATTAATCTGTCCTGGTTTTATTGATAGTATTCTTTTGCTCATGTTGTAAAATGTGTGTTAATTCCTTACTTTTGAGATCTTCTGTCAGTGTGGCAGCACCAACACTTTTTGAGTGACTGTGTGTAATTATTTCGATTTATCTTCGCAGCTGTTGGAGGACTCTGAGGTGGAAACGAAGCTCAAAGCCCAAGCCCTGATTTACCCTGCACTGCAAACCCTCGACCTGAACCTGCCATCCTACCAAGAAAACAAGCACAGCCCCATCTTGTCCAGGCTGCTCATGGTCAGGTTCTGGAGTGAGTACTTCACTTCCGACCCATCTCTCAGGCAGGCGATGGCCTCCAATGCCCACGTCCCTGTGGAGTCCAGCCACTTATTTCAGTTTGTGAACTGGAGCCACCTGCTGCCCGAGGAGATGAAGAAGGACCACGTTTACACCGGCCCCGTCTACAGCAGCCCCGCGCTCGCGCAGAAGTACCCGGGGTTCCTGGACCCGCGCGCGGCCCCGCTGCTGGCGAGCGACGCGCGGCTCCATGGGCTGCCCCTCACCTACGTCCTCACCTGTGAGCACGACGTCCTGCGGGATGACGGGGTGATGTACGTCCAGCGCCTCCGGGCCGCTGGCATCCCCGTCGTGCACCACCATGCCAAGGACGCCTTCCACGGCGCCATGATGTTTGTGTCGGGCCTGACCGAGCTGGCGGTGGGGCACCAGCTGGCCAACGGGTACATGGCGTGGTTAAATGAGAACCTCTGAGCTGCGGCTGCAGTGTGCGCTGGGCGCGGGTGAGGAGAACAGGAGCTGTGTGGGTTGCTGGGCATGATTGCCATCTCGGTTGTGTTGGACTGCGGTGTTTCTCATCTTCTGCCAGGGAAATTGGTCCGATCCTACCCCAAGTGTCCTTTCAGTGCTGCAGGTGTTGGTTTGGTTAGGGTTTGGGGGGCTTTTTTGTTATTTTTTTGATTTGGTGAGATTTTTTTCATTTGTTTGGGTGAGGTTTTTGGGTGTGGTTTTTTGTTTGTTTGGTTGTTATCTTTTTCCAAAAACAAAGCATCTGTCTTACTCGGTAATGACTTTCTTTGCTTTCTGTACTAGAAGGCAGTAGTGTAACAAAGCAGCACTGGGTATTCATCAGATAAAGGATGGCTGTCAAAGTCCCAGCCTTACAGCAGCACTGCTGTGTGTTTTATGCTTTACGTATTAAATAAGCTAAGTGTTGTGTGTTGTGACTATCCTTAAAATTGTTTAGCAATTTTTTACATATGAACTTTTAAAAATAAAATTAGCTTAGTAGCTTTATAGGCTTGAAAAAGAAACAGAATTCAGCTGCCAGTCTTGAACAAATATACTCTATATAAATGTTTTGTGTATTAAACATAAACCCTAAAAATTCTAAATGATGAATGCATGTACTGGTTGGCTATTTGTTTTAGACTGATCGCAGTACACCACAAACACGTACTTCTAGCATCCTGCTTTTTTCTTTATCATAAACAATACTGAATATTCAATAATTGTGAATTTTTTCTGAGTGCAACCTGTTCTGATGGAACGTGTATGGAATGACTGCTTGTGGTGTTCTTTTTCATCTTTATTGTGTTGAAAATAAAAATTAAACCTATCTTTGATGTGATTTTGTCACTCCAGGGTCCCAGTTATGGGAAGGGAATAACAAATTGGCTTTAGCACACACGGGAGCTACTGCAAACAACCAGAGCCAAGCCCAGGAAGGTGATGCTTTACTCCTGCTATTGGCAAATGCTTGCTAACGCCTGGCTGGGGATGAGGAGGATAAGCAGCAGGGACACACGGGCACAGCACACACGTGTGCGTGCAGCTCTTGGCAAAGCCCAGGCAGGGCTCGTATAAATACATTTATAACATAAATGTTATAAATACATTTATAAGAGCATGATACGTGTTTTTGATATATTGCTTTGTATAAATCCAACAAAATTTTATATTTTAGATAAAATGCACGTGGTACTTCAGAGTATGAGGACGGAGCCCCAAGTGCCTTGATCCGGAGGGCTCAGGGTGGCAGAGCCCAAGCTGCGTCTCCCCCACCTCCCTCCCACATGGCTGGGCTGGTCTTCTGGGAGCAGAAGGAGGAAGAGGAGGAGGAAGAGGAAGGCTCCAGGGTGAATTTTCCATGCAGCAGCTGAGAGCAGCGAAGGCCCCTTCCTCCTCCTCTTCCTGGGATGTGAAGTTGAAAAAGGACTTTATAGCTTTCAGGGAGCAAAAGGAATCTGTGCGTTGGACTTCTTCAAACAAATGTTATTAATGAAGATCTATTCCTCCCAGGGAAAAAAAAATTGAATAATTGAAGCAATTTCATGTCTTTCCTCATTTCCAGGTCTTGTATATAATTAGTACAATTCCAAATAACAGATGGCAAAGTGCGAAGGGGAGTGATCATATGAGATGTGTATTACTGATGTATTTAGTGCAAATAACACCCTGCACAGGGCTGTCACGCTGCGGGCTCGCTCAGATGCTGCTGCCATAACAGCAGAATTGCAGGCAGGAGCCACAGGTGGGAG